CGGAGCGTGCTCACGCGATTCAACTCGTTCCGGACGAGAGTCTTTTATTTTTCAACGAAGTGTCAGCCCCTCAAATGCACTATCGAACTTTGGAACTGTATATTAATTCGTTACTTTAAGTCGTTACTTGAAGCTTCCCTTAAATGCGATGGTTGGATTTAAGTTTAGAGTTAGGCGAGATTTTTTCCAGTTGAATTGCGATTGCAAATATAATGTCGCGTACATTATATAATTCAATTGGGATTTTCAAATTCAAATCTAAGTGAAAATCTGTGTATCTCACTTGAGACGAGTTTCAAGTAATATTATGAACCTCAGGCTCATGTTAAGAGTTGTTACTTGAAACTTGTCTCATGTAAAATACCCTAAATTTAGAGTAGTATCTTAGCTTTCCAGTGAAATTTTATGATATAAGTGGCATTATATTTGTAATCAACTGTAATCAACTATATTCAATTGAAATATTCACATCTAACCCTAAGCTCAAATCTGAATATCCTATTTGAGGTAAGTTTTAAGTAACGACTATCGATACAGTAGTATAACAACTATCGATATAAAAATATAACGACTATCGATGAATTCAAGTAACTACTTCAAGCCTGTATTAAAAGTTGGCACTTAAAACTCATCTCAAGTGAAAAACTCAAATTTTCATTCAAACTTAAATGCAAATTTTCCAGTTAAATTATATGACTTAATGTGATATTTATCACGATAATCGTGATTCAACAGAAAAATTCTCATCAAACCTTGAATTCAAATCTGAGTATTTCACTTAAGACTTGAGAGTTTCAAGTAATAACTATTAATATGGATGTTGGGCTCGCAATAGTCGTTACTTGAAACTTACCTTAGACAGGAAATACTCAAGTTTTAATTTAAATGAGAGTTTTTCATTTAAATCGTAATTAAAAATTTAATGTCGCATATGTTATATAATTCAAATAAAATTTCAAATCTATTTCAACTCTCTAAATTCAAATCCAAGTATCTCATGTGGAAGAAGTTTCAAGCAACCACTATTAATACGGGTCTTAGGTCAAATATTCCAAGATCAACTTTCGGCTTTCTACTTTTCTCCTCTTTTTCAAAAGACTCGGGAATTGTGTGTCAAGATTTTTATGAAATTTTATATCACCCATGTGATGCGTAAATGCAGATGGATCCCCCGCTTCCCTTTTCGCCCTATTTCATCGTCACGAGACCTTCGAAAGAGATTCTTCTCGTTCGGAAAATCCTCCAGTGATAAATTAACGGGGCTAACGTGTAGTTATTGAGTGGAGTAGATGTGCAGCGCAGTTAATCGCAGTTAAAATATATATGCGCTGCGACGTAACTGCGATCGCCACGTATCGCGGCCGCGCAAGTAATTAACGCGCTCTCTATCGGTCTATTGACAATTGATTTACTTTGCTGATCAGCTCGTAACATTTCAAGTTTATGAGAAACGCTAATCTCTATCTAATGGGGATATCGCGGACGGTCCGTATCGAATGATCGCTTTCGTATTATTAGTCAGATAGCCCGCCAATCGGAAGCACATCTGTTACAAGATTACATTGCCACCTACCATCGCATAATTTACGTGTTTACATGCATTGTATCGCACCATGTGTCTGAAGCGAATTGCAGGCGCGCGTTTAATCCGGAAATAGTTACTTCGTTTCGTGTTTCGTTTCGCCGCGTTGATCCGAGTCGAAATTTTGATTCCACGTTAATCCTGCAAATTTCATCAAATCTGAAGGATCAACGAAAAATCTTGAAAATATAATGCTATATTACTGTCTTACCTTGACATCGCAGATGACTGCTTACTGCCATTTTCTTTACACGGAGATATTGTAGAAGATATTGTAGCAAAAATTACGTCAAGATTATATTTTATTTTATAACGTTTTCTTTTTATAAACCTGAATTGTACTGTAAAATTGCATATATGTGGCACATATATATGTTTAAAAAAATTATTGTAAAAATAGTAAATTCGATTATCTATTGAATATATGATATAAAACATCATTCAATTGCAATAATTTTGTAGTAAAAAGTCAAACGTGCATGACATTAAATAAATGTAATAATTTTGGTCATAGTTTCTGTATGATTTAAGATCACTGAATTTTATTGCAATTTTTATTACAATGTTTTCTCGTGTATGTTGAAACTCGCAGATATTGAAGAGACTCGAAAAAACACTCGTTTAAGAATTATTTCACATTTTATTATCTCAATATATTCTAACAGAATTAAAATTTTCTTTTTAGAACGCGGACTGCTCGGCAGCGAGAGAAATCGAAAAGAACAGTAATCGTGAAAACTGCGGATCGACAATACGAGAACTTCAAATTCGCCACCTTTCGGCGACCGCGAATTCGGAACAGTCGCGATTCGACGATAAGGATTCGAGATTCGACAATGTTTCCGTACGAAATGACTAGGTGCACAATCTTGCTTTAAGCTATGAGCCAAATGAAAAAAATTGATTAATCAATCCATTATTAAGAGAATAAAAGAAAATAAAATATAATTATTCTTCTAATAATGACTGTGATTGAACAATTTGCTTACAACTTACAAGATTGTGGACTCAGCCGAAATCTAAAGGACTATCTACGATGAGATTGGCAGCAGGCAGTAAACCAAATGACTAATTATTACAAGAATAATCAAGAATAATCGTTTGTAATTGGTCAATTTGCTTACTGCTAACTACCAATCCCATTGTCGATGGACCTTGAAGACAACACACGATCGACTGTTCGTTCTGCGGAGAAAACATCGTGAAAATTAAGCGTACGCAGGCAACGAATGCACAGAACCAACACTCGCAGCACTGTCGCGACAGTCGTCCTGTCCCCGTCTACACGCAAAAAAAATTTCAGTTGGTGCCACCAAATAGAAACCAACTGAAAATTAGGTGATCAGAAGCGATATCTGTTATGAAAATTAATATTTCTGTTGTCGCAACCGAAAATATTCGTCTAAACACTCAACGATATTAGAATTCGGTTGAGGCAACTAAGAACAATTGACTATATAGAAGCCTCATAATTTTTCTGTTCCTACCGAGTTTTTATCTGATCCCTGAGCAACTGAAAATTCGGTTGCACCAACAGAATTGTTTTTTTCGTGTAGAAAAAACGCACATCTTTCGTAAGAATCCCGTAGAGAAGGTAAACATTCCCAGCCATCGATTATCTATTTAGTAAAGCCCGTTCCCTCCGCGTTGCCTCTCTTCGAACACTTCTCTTTACTTGGACGTACGACTATGTGCGTTATTCGTAGCGGGAACGAGATCAAAACATGAATTACTAGCGACGTCCTCAGCGCACCTACCTTATAGTACCTGTCTCAGCACCTACCTCAGCACCTACCTTAAGAGGATCGTGGGGCCGCTATCGAAATCCCTCGATGCATCTCCCAGCGTGAGAGAAACGTCGACAAGATTACGCGCGCAGGTGCATTCGATGCATAAAAACCACTCGCCAATTGCCACTCACGACAGCTGCACGGAAATCATACGCTGAGAAAAATAATATTTAAAAATTATCTAATATTTATTAGGTGGGTACCATTAACATATTTACTTAAATCAAAATTCTCTTCAATCAAGTAAATATGTTAAAATACCTATCTGATAAATATTTATTGATTTTTAGATATTTTTTTCTCAGTGTACGATAATTGACAATATACACTTATATAAATAATCTGCTTGTCTTTCTTTATTTAAAAAACAATAATCTATTTCCATTTTTTTATATCTTTACATTTTTATACATATATTTTTTATTTTATATTTTTATACATACAGATTCTGAAATATCCAGAAATTTCCCATACAGCATATCAATATTGCAGCAACATCGCAACAATGTTTCCTGCAAGATTGCAATATTGCAGAAATATTGTAAAATGTTGGTGCAAGATTGCAGCAGTGTTGCAGCAATGATAAAATATCCGCCTGAGAAATATTGCAGCAACATTGCATTATAATATATGTAGTGTTACCTTACATTGATATATTGATTGATAGATACACACGCGCGACTGGCAATTGGCGAAATATGATTTTAACGTGGACACGAGTAAACAATACATGCCGCAAGTGCTCGCTTATTATTATCGGTCACAAATTATTTACAATGTCCGATTATCTCAAAATATTTTACTATGATTTAATTTTTATATTTAATTTCGATCGGCAATGTATTAATTATATAACTTATTTAGCGGTAAACAAAGGATGTGATATGAACAAATGTCAAGCAATCAATTAGAAAATTGGTAAGAAAATGGGTGGGAGAAACAACACATTTTATTCTCATCTGTTCCTAATTGCTTTGTCTTTTTGTTTCTTTTTTTTCCTTTTTCTCTTTTTTTTTTTTTTTTTTTTTTTTTTTTTTTT